ACTAGCAGCACCACATAAACAGAAAACGCTGGAAGTGGTGCTGTGGCTCAAGTGGTAGAGTGCTAGCCTTGAGCAAAAGAAGCTCAGGGACAGAGCCCAGACCCTGAGTTCAAAACCGCAAGACTGGCGAAAAATAAAGAACAAAATGGTAAAAATATGTTTGCATTTTCGCTTGCGCAGAAGAGCCTGAGAGAAAAATCAAGGCTGCCCGGCGACGGTGGCTCACGCCTGTAATCCTAGCTGCTCTGGAGGCTGAGATGTGAGGATCACGGTTCAAAGCCAGCCCGAGCAGGAAGTGGCACTGTGGCTCACATGGCAGAGCGCTGGCCTCGGGCTGTAAGCTCAGGGACAGCGCCCAGGCCCAGAGTTCAGGACCCACAGCCGACAAAAGAAAAATCAAGGCTATCATTGTCAGCATGCCCTTTTAGGAGAACAGAAGCGAGCGCCTGTGCTTTGTGGCATTACAGAGCGAGGCTCCCAAGCACAAGGCCAGGACCAGGTCCTGGGTCTGGCCTGGCACATTCACCGGGCGTCCTGTCGGCCCAGCGGCTCCAGGAGCATCACAGATGCGCTTCCGGTTTCCTGCCGGGGGCGGGGCCTGCGACTCCCCCGGCCCGCAAATCCCCATTCTTGGCTGAAATAGGATGTGCAGGTTTCTCAGCAACTTACTCCACTCTGGCGACGGCCCCGCGCACTGGGGAGGCGCGGTGAGGACGGGGCGCGGGCTGGCTCGTTTTCCACTTGGTGGGCACCTGTTGCGTCGGTGTCGGGGTTAGTAGCCCTCGGAGCCCCACCCGGCGAGGTGGGCGAGGTGAGTAGGGTCAAGTCGCAGGCGCCCCGCCCCCGCCCTCGGCGTCCCCCCTGGACCAAGGACTTCCAACCCGAGAGGGTCAGGCCCTCCAGCAGGTGGAGGACGCGCTTGCAACTCCCCCAAATTCTCAGCTGCAGGGCTGCAAGTCAGGCAGAGACCGCCCACTGCGCACGCTCGCAGTCCGAGTTACTGGACTACAGTTCCCGTCGTGTCCTGCGACCACCTTGACAAACACCACAGCCAATGAACAGGGGGGCCCTATTCCGGAGCAGCCAATCCCCCCGGGCGCGGGGCGGGCCCTCCCGGGTGGCTCCGCCCCGCGGTGGGCGTTTTCGTGGTTAGCGGTCCGGCCCCGCCCCTGGCCGGCGCTCCAGAGTTCCGGGTCCCGGGCCGCGGAGAGGTGAGTCAGCCGCAGGTGGGCGCGGGTCCCTCCGCTGCCCGGGACGGTCGCGCCGCGGGTGTCAGCCCTCGGCCGCACCTGGCCTGGCCGCGGAGCTGCGCCTCCGTCCCGTCAGGTCTCGTCGGGCCCAGGCCGACTGGGCCTGCGGCGCCCCCCGGTCTGCCTCGCGCTCCGTCGGGGCTGCCAGCGCGCCGCCTGGGCTGGGGCTCGGGGTCGGCGTGCGGCGCGGAGGGTCGCGGCCAGCCACTGTACCACAGCTGCAACTTTTCCCGGGCATCCTTGAGCTGGCCGTTAGATCGTGCTGCCCCCGTCCTGGGAGCCCCGGGCAGGGCGCTCGGTTCCGAAGGGCTGCCACGGCTGACCGGCTCTTCCCGGCCCAGGACCCGGCCGTCTGCGGAGGTGGGGCGATGCCCGGCAGCTAGGAAGGCCGGTCCTCTGCGTCCATCCTCGGGAGGAACTTCGGGACTGTCGTCTTTGTAGCGTTTGGAGACTCTCCAGGGCATGATCCCAAAGGCTTGATCGGTCTCACAAGGAGAGTAGTTTTTCCTGACACACACACACACACACACGCAAATATGGCAGCTAAAATGGAAATAACTTTGAGCTCCAACAGCCAGGCTTCCTCCAAGCAAGAGCGACACATCATAACAAAGCTGGAAGAGAAGCCGGCGCCCAGTCAGCAGAAAACCTGCCCGGACCCCGAGCTCTCCCGCCAGAGCTTCCGACGGCTCCGCTACCAGGAGGTGGCCGGGCCCCAGGAGGCGCTTTCCCAGCTGCGACAGCTCTGCCGGCAGTGGCTCCAGCCCGAGCTGAACACCAAGGAACAGATGTTGGAGCTCCTGGTGATGGAGCAGTTCCTAATCATCTTGCCCCCCGAGATCCAGGCTCGGGTCCGGCATCGGTGTCCAGAGAGCAGCAAGGAGATCGTGACCCTGGTGGAGGATTTCAACAGAGCATCCAAGAAACCAAAACAGTGGGTAAGGAAGGGCCTGGCTTCTGCTGCCAGCATGTCTTTCCCGTGTGGGCAGTGTTTTGTCTCCGTATCCATCCCCATGAACAAGGGCTGGATGGCTTTCGACCTTGTGTCCAGCCTGTATCCAGAACCTCTTCCCCTGCAAGTTCTAACAGGTTTTTCCAAAACCCTCTGGTGAGGGGCCTCATGTCCCCAGAAATGGTTTGCGTTCTTGAATCTCTGTTGTCAGATTTCCCTGGCCCCTTCCTCTGGAAGTCTCCCTATAATCAGAATTCTTAGCAGGCGGGATTCACCTGTTGGATAGGAATTGACTGGGGGAATCTCACTGGATTTTGTTCAATTTGTTGATTGATACTATGATGTAGGGCAGATACCTCAGAGTATCTGCCATATTGCCTTTGAATCAGGCAGTTTCAGCAAGGTTAACCCCGTATTGCTATTCCTCTCCACCCTATTTCCCCAAGGCAGACCCCTGTCAGAGCCTTTGGCAGGAGGCAAACAGGTATGCTTTGGAAAATGAAGGAAGCTGCCGGTGAACAGATAGGCAGGTCTTAGACACCCAGTGCGATGGGACCTGTCTCCCAGAAGAGCCTTCAGCAGAACAATTCATTAGAGAAGTCTTCAGGGGCCCCTCACCATATTGCTCCCCGTTCCCACGGGAAGCAGGGGCTGGTGTAATTCCTGACCCTGATAGTTGTGCTAGCTAGTTCTCCTCAGATGACTCTGACCTGGGGCCTAAGCTTTTTTTTTTTTTGGGTCCGGTCGTGGGGCTTGAACTCTGGGCCTGGGCGCTGTCCCTCAGCTTTTCAGCTCAAGACTAGCGATCTACCACTTGAGCCACCTTCCCAGCCCCTGGGGCCTAAGCTTTAAGGGCAGCCATTTGGGATGGATCATTTGGTGTGAAGCAGCCTTATTCTTGTCATTCTGTGGCCCCTCTTCTGCCTCCTGGGAGCGAGGGTCTCAGGGGTCTGTAGGCCATCGTTAGAGGAGTGCTCAAGGCAAAGGAATTACACGCAGACTGTTCACAGTCAGTCTTTGAAGCATTAACAGATGGGGCTTGTTCCTAGGTGGCTGTCTGTGTGCAGGGGCAGAAGATGCTTTTGGAAAGAACTGGAGCTCATCTTGGTGATCAGGAACTGCCAGACTTCCAACCACAAACCCTTACAAGAGATCTCAAGGAGAGCTTTCCAGAGGACCCTTCTCAGGAAGGATCTCATGAGGCACCCAGCCCCCATCATTGGGAGAAATCACCACTCCTCCAAGAGCCAGCCCCCAAACTTGCTGGGACAGGTAAACAGTGCCTCTTCACTCCCCCTCATCAGCAGAAAGTAGATATTTTTTAAAAATAATTTTCTCTTAGTGAATATATGATATCATAGTGCGTGACAGAACATGCACAATCATGTGCAAGTTTGCTATGGACATATGTTCTCATTTCTCTTGGGTATACGCCCCAGAGTAGACTGTCTAGGCCACAGGTCAATCTATGCTCAACTTTGTGAGGAACCAGCTGACCATTTTCCAAAGCAGCGGCATTGTTCCACATTATCACCAATAAAAGCTGAGGATTCTAATTTCCCCACATTTTTTTTTGGGGGGGGTAGGGCACTAATTCTATTTCCACTGTCTTCTTTGTTTCATTCATTAGATGACATTCGGATCTGATGGGCTTGCTTTTCCTAAACCTTTCTCTGAAAGCACAAAAGAGGAAAGGGTCTGGAGAATTTGGTTCGCAATTTTGTTTTTCAACTTTCTTGGTGGCTCAGGGTTTTGGAGGCGGGGTGCTCGGGCCTCCCTTTGCCATTTGGATGATAAGTGTGTGGTAGCTGGGGCGGGGGATGGGTATGTGCCACCACACCCAGTTGTGGTTGAGTAGAGTCCTAGGAAGCTATTTTGGCCTCAATCCACAATCCTCTGCCCTCTGCCTCCCAGGTAGCTAGGATTATAGGCTTTTGTGCTCAGCTTGGTTCTTAACTTTAATATACATCCTCTGATTTATGTTAAACCCATTAACTATGAAAATTCCCTGGCCAAAGTGTCAAAAGATTCTGGTTCAGTAGCTTCGAGGGAGGGGCTGGATGCCTGCCTGCTCACAGGTACCCCAGAGGATTCTATGCAAGCTGCTGCGGTGGAGGGCTACCCTACCCTTTGAGCAACACTGCAGTGTGTGCTATGACTCTGACTCTTCCTCTAAGTGCAGTAAGTGAAGCATATTGTTTCCAATTATAGAGGAGTCTGGGATGAAAAGTGACAACAAGGAGAATCCACGGCCAGAAGGGGCCAGAGGAACAAAGTCAGGTGTTGTGCCGGCCGGCAGGCCCAAGGGGAATGCTCTGCAGAGCCCCGAACCGAGAGGCGCAAGCCTAGGGGAAGCCCACTTGTCCGGGAAGCAGGTCGGCCCCTCGAATGCTCAGAAGCCATATGCTCCCTACAAGCGACACCGCCGGGAACTGGAATACAGCAGCCCCGTCAAAAGCCACCCGCTGAGGGAGCTGAAGAAAAGCAAAGGAGGCAAAAGAACCCTGAGTAGCCGTCTGCAGCGTCTCGCTCACCAGCCAGCCTACACGGCCAAGAAACCTTACAAATGTGACGACTGTGGGAAAAGCTTCACGTGGAATTCCGAGCTGAAACGACACAAGAGGGTGCACACGGGAGAGAGGCCCTACAGCTGCGGGGAGTGCGGGAACTGCTTCGGGCGGCAGTCGACCCTGAAATTACACCAGAGGATCCACACTGGGGAGAAGCCCTACCAGTGTGGCCAGTGTGGGAAAAGCTTTCGCCAAAGCTCAAACCTCCACCAGCACCACAGGCTCCACCACAGGGACTGAGAGGCATTGTCGCTTCAGGTCCCAGGGAGGCCGTGAGCTGAGGCCGCTCCTTCCCCCACCTGCATGTACATCACCGTCAGTCCGCGTCACTTACCAAGAGAGCAAGTGGCCCTCAGGGTGTGGAGCGATGTGAAGACCGGCGAAGAGGCTGCGGTGGCCTGGCCTGGTCTGCCCAGGCTGTGACTGGGTGCAGATGCCAGCTCTGGTATTGGGACAGAGAACTAGTCTCTAGCCACGTGAGAGTGACCCCCGGGAGCGTCCGGACGACTGCAGGCGGCCTTTCCTCCCTCGTGCTTTATTTATGCTCTACAGTAGGTCAAAGAGTCAACTGCAAGCAGTTTTGCATTTGCTGTCACTCCAGACAGTTACTCTCCTGTGTTCGCCTGAGCAGCTCACCGACCCCAAGGCCGTGTTCATTGGGAATTACCTCCCCGTCTTCTCTCTGTTCTTCCTTACTGTTCTTAACAAAGAACAAATTAAGTGAGAATATATATGTCTACGTAAAGAGAGAATTTCCAAGCAGGTAGGTGGTGCCTTTAGAAAACAAAGATTGCATTGGAGGACTTTAGTAGCAAAGCGCCTTTTAAGTTAGAGAAAGAAAAATCTACACAGTGGCTACAACTGCGGCCCAAGAGTCGATGAGACCCAAGTAGTGGACAGATGCTGCTATGGAGATGTAAGAGGGAATCCTGCCTGCTCTCCTTTCTCACGCGAGCCATTGAGTGTTAAGAATAAAATGGCTGGAGTGATAAGCGTTTGAAGTTGGGCTGTAGTGGTGGCTGCACAACCCAGTGACTTTATGAAGTCCTTGAAATGGGTTAATTTTATGATATATAAATCATACCTCAATAGCCATGTTGAAAATGACAAAATATATTTATATAAAATGTTACTTGTGGAAATAAGCCTGAGAGACGCTCTAGTCCCACCCCTTGTTCGCCAGGGTAGAAGGAAGCCTAATCAGCTGTCATTGTGTAATTCCAGGTCACCGTGGCCAGCCACGCCCCTTCTCCATGTAGGGAGGACTGCAGGCAGATGCGCGCGCTAGTTCCTCATGCAGAGCGAGGCCCCCATAGGACTCTTTAAGCAGCTTCAGGTCAGTCGCCTCAGGGCTGCGGCCCCTTCTGCTGAAGAATGGGCATTCACCACGAGTGTTTCTGGGTCACGGGGGGAGCTTTATATACTGTTCCCTTTCTTTGCCTTTCATTTCTGCCACTCCTACTCTGTCCTCCCTGGATCTCACAAGAGCTGCCTGCGGCCTGGCACAGTGGCATACATCTGTAATGCCAACTACTTAGTAGGCAGAGGTAGGAGAATCACTGGGGCAAGCTGGCCTCAGATCACAAAGTATGAAACCCAATCTGAAAAATACCTGAAAACAAAAGAAGGTTGAGGGCGTGGCTCAACTAAGCTCAGCACCTGAGCTCAACCAACACAAGCACGCGCGCGCGCGCGCACACACACACGTGCACGCGTGCGCGCGGCCTGCACAGAGCCCCAGGCAGACGCGGCAGCAAACTTGGGTGAGCCCCCTGCTAGATTCCATACTAGGAGTGCTCAGCCTGCTATCAGTCTTTCCCCCCAAGGGGTAGTTGACCGTTCCTGCAGTTGCTGACTCCAGGGAGGGAGGGCAGTTCCTGGCCTCTGGTAGTTGGAGCCCAGGATCCTGCCAGTGTCCTCCAGTGCACGGGACAGCACCACAGTACAGTTTGTGGTCCCAGCAAGTAGGGGGGCTCTCTCACGCTCTTTCAAGACCAGCACCTTGTTTGCCATTAGCTCGGGGACTTGGCCCATGTCCAGCCAAGACAAAGCCACTGAACACTTGAGGCATCTGCCATCAGAGCGACCTCTTCCTGGCTGCAGAGCCACAGTGTGACCTAATCTCTGCCTTTTGCCAGTGGCCTTCCTGCTAGCCCCGGAGACCCCTAGAGAGGCTCCTTCTCACTGCTCTGTGAAATCATGGAGGAGTTTGGTCTTCTGCCTGCTCCATGTCTTATCTTACAGCCATCCTGGCCAGGGCCTACACTGCTCACTGTACCTACCCCGTCCGACCCTCTCTCTTACTGCAGGCCTATTTCACTGTTGTTTCCTAGTAACTTCCAAGTCTTAATCATGTCTGTAATTAGTTTTTGTTGTTGCAAACTTGGTGGCATAATATATAAAAGAAACTTCCACTGTGGTTCTGGAAGTTAGAAATGTGAATCCCTTTCATTCAGCCCAATCAAGCTGTGGGCAGACCGGTCCCCCGGAGGCTCTGAGAGGCGGCCTGCCCCCTTGACTCCTTCAGCTCGTGGCTACCTGCATCCTTTGGCTTGCAGCCCCCTTTTCCATCTTCCAAGTTCATCCTCCGCCTACCACCATCACCACGTCACCATCTCTGGCCCTTGCTTTCCTCTTAGGGGACAGTGGCCCCTGGGATAATGTCTCCATCTCAAGATCCTTCGCAGGCCAAAACCCTTTTGTCACATAAGGTAACAACTGCAGGCTCCAGGGCGTAGGATAAGAATGTATTTGGGGGGGGCAGGGCATGATTTAGCCCCCACAGCAGTCTATCTTGAGTCAACTCTGAGTAAAAAAGGATCTGGAAAAAGACAAGAACCACAGAGTCCCACTTTTCTTTTAGGGTTGGCTTGGGGATTCACCCTTAAAAAACAATTTTTGCAGCTAAGTGTGTTTCATAGACCCAATGAGCGTGATTCCTCTTCTGAATACAGATCAGAAGCTGTCTAAATGTCTTTGTGTACCTGTTCAGTTGTGGACCTTGAATAAACGTGGCAAAATCATGTGGACGTGATTCTTCCCCAAAAGATGTGTAGTACTGCCCTGCTCTGCCTTTGCCTGCCAGCCTGGCTCTCCTTTGGTATAAAGCTCGCCTCCAGACAGGGGATCAGTAACAGTCCAGTGGCCCAGAGGAAGGCCTGGAACCCTATATTCAGATTTAGAGACCTGTTGCACCCCCCACCGCCCAGGCATGCTTCACCAGGGCCTCAGCATGAAACGCTGGTTGTAGCTTACAACCAGCTTTAGTTACAGCATCTCCAGGCACCAAGAGGACCCTCCCCTCTTTGCCTGCAGTCCTTACCCCAGGAGCCACCCTTTATAGGATGACAGCCATTTCAGGGTGGGGGTGTCTCTTGCTCTGGGTCTTTGGTCCTTGTGTTGCCCCTAGGGAGACAGGAACGAAGCTCTGACACACACATGAATGAACCTTGAAAGCATTAGGCTAAGGCTGGTGCGGGTGGCTCAGTCTGTAATCCTAGCTACTCATGAGGCTGAGATCTGAGGGATGGCGGGTCAAAGCCAGTCTGGGCAGGAAAGTCTGTGAGACTCTTATCTCCAATAAACCACCAGAAAACCAGAAGTGGTGCCGTGGCTCAAGTGGTAGAGCACTTACCTTGAGCTAAGCCTCATGACCGACCAAAAAAAAAAACACGCATTAGGCTAATGGGGCCATAGAATTAGAATTCCACTAGAGGAATTTGGGGGAAGACACTGATATATTTAAGCTATAGTAAGAGAGGAGTAAGAAAGAAAGATGATAGCATGTGTAATGGGTGTGGATGGGGTACCGTGTAGTGAAGGCAGACAGATAAGAGGCTAAAATAGGAGTTACATTTGGGGAGTTTCGACTCAGACATCAAAAGACGAATGTCCATAGGCATCTGAATATAGGAATTTGGAATTCAGGCAAGAGGAGAAATCTGGGTTGACATCATCTGAAGTATGTGTGGCCACAGAAATGGCGAGGGCCATTTGGGAGACCGTTTGCCCACAGTGAGCAGGGGTTAAACTCTAGCTAACCAGAAGCACACAGAATCTGGCTGAAGACGGCTGTGGCGCCATGGCGTCTGTAGTCCCATCTACGCAGGAGGCTGATGTCTCCAAATGCCCTCTCCACAGCTCTAAGTATGTATCTGCATCTGTACGTGTACACACACCGGCATACGTGCTCGTGCGGTGAGCGCGCACGCACACCTACGCAGGGCTCACCTAGCTGCATGGAGAAGACGCTCTATGGCAAATCAGAACCGCAGCGGATCCCTGAGGAGGCGCATGCGCGCGCGCATGCGCGGCAGCCCTCAACGCGCGCGGCTAGGTAAGGCCGGGGCGGGGCGGGGCCGGTGCCCGGCGCCGGCAGCGGGCGCAGGCCTCAGCCGAGGCACCGCGATGCCTCCGCGGGGGTCCGCGCCACCGAGCACGAGCTCGTCATGGACGCGAGGCGGCCTGCCGAGGCCCTCGGCGAGTGCTGCCCGGGTCCTCGGCCGCGTTGCCGCCGAGGACACGGGTGACTCGCGGGGGGTGGGGCCCCTCCACCGGCCCCACCAGCCTGAGGACCGCGCAGGCGCAGCCGGAAGCGGACGCCGGAAATGGCCGCCCGCTTCCGGTCCTGCTCACCGCAGCCGTGGCACGGCGATCGGCTGGCATCCGCCGCGGCGTGTGGGGTGCGGCTCCCCGAGCCCCGGGAGCCGGTCCCCGGGCCTGCCCGGTCCCCGGCGCCGCCCGGCCGCGACTCCCGCGCTGGACGCCCGCTGCCCGCGGAGCGGGAGCCGCCTCGCCCTGCGCGGCCCCGGCCCCGGCCCCGAGGTAGGTCAGGCCCGAGCCAAGGCCTCATTTCTTTGATTCAGGGGGTGAAACGCCTCGCTTGAAGCCACACTCGAACCAGTCTTTAACATCCACGTCGCAATGAAAGACGGGCTGGGAAGGTGGCTCAGGGGTGGAGCGCTCACCTCGCCTGCATGAGGCCCTGGGTTCGATTCCTCAGCACCACATAAGCAGGAAAAGCCGGAAGTGGTGCTGTGGCTCAAGTGGTAGAGCGCTGGCCTTGAGCTGAAGAGCTGAGGGACAGCGCCCAGGCCCAGAGTTCAGGCCCCAAGACCGACAAAAGAAACGAAAAAATTCATTTTGCCTTCACCACAAAATACTATTTATTACAATGAAAAATTGCACATCACATAGACACCATCAGTCTGCCGAAAGACTGCAATCTAGCGCTAGAATAATGAGAACGCACCAAGAACAGCAGAAGCGGATCACTACATAAACAAAAGTGCATATGCTGAAACATTAAATAACCAAAAGTGCATATGGTAAACATACTTCTTAGGTATCCAAACAGTAGAGATTACAGTACATTCGTAGGATGATATAAACATGTATTTATGTTGTCTTCACCTTTTCCCCTGAACTGTTCATGCTAGGAGAGATCTCAATTCAAAAAGACAGAACACCTGTAATCAAATGTCCTTCGAAAGATGGTAACAGTCATCTTTACACCAGATCAATAGCTCTCCTAATCTACAAGACTAAAACAACAGAGCTCGATAAGCCAGCAATCATGTTAGGTACACAGTTCATCACTGCATCAACAATAAAAGCCAGTTCGGCACAGATTTCACTCTGTAAACATGTAGTTAGCCAACTATGCACAGTAACAAACTTTTACATTTAGTTTTTCATCCCTGGATTGGCTTTAGGCAGTATTTAACAAACACTAACATGAAAAGCTAGTAATATCTGAGTTAGAAACAATCTTATGGGGTCTGCCTTTATTGTTTGACAGAACAGGAGGATGAAGAGACCATTATCATAAAAATAGCCTGCACACCACTGGCATAGTAGCTTGAGTAACATGTAACAAAAAACAAGGGCACTGCAGGACAGCTAAAATATGCCTATTTCACAGTAACTAATATTCAGGCTTTTTTCCCCTACATACTAGTCACAACAGAATTATTATTCCCATGAGTATGTTAACTTTTCTGTAAAATGTTATTTTTTCTAATTTTTTAATGAATTGTTTGGCAAAAGCTGACAAATACAGAAAGCTGCGAATACTAAAAGGTAAATGCTGAAGGAAATATCTGGAAAGATGAAGTTCTGTATTAATGTGCGCAACAGAACTTGGACAAATTCTCATCTACATTTTCTTAGAAGCAAAGAAAGCATGACTGACTGCTTCTGTTTTTTCTATCACTCTGTTCAAGTGCTGTCTGAGATCTTCTACTTCTTTCTGCAGCAAATATGCTGGTGGAAACCCAGTTACTCCTTGCCTCCCAGCTCTCTTAAAACTGAAACACTATGAGTATATGGGGTACCTTGCCAATTTCTCCCACTGAGAACAGAATCTGAAGAAAGGCATTGCTCTTGAGTAAACATCAGTATACCCTTGCATTAGTTGCAAAGAAAACTGAGGAACATCTACACAATTCAAAGTATCTCAAGAGTGAACTGAAGGCCTCTATTTTTTCTTTTTTTTTAGTCGGTTGTGGGGCTTGAACTCTGGGCTTGGGTGCTCTCCCTGCATTCTTCAGCTCAAGGCAAATGCTCTACCACTTGAGCCACGGTGCCACTTCCGGTTTTCTGGTGGTTTATTGGAGATAAGAGTTTCATGGACTTTCCTGCCTGGGCTGGCTTTGAACTGTGATCCTCAGGTCTCAGCCTCCTGAGTAGCTAGGATGACAGGCGTGAGCCACTGGCGCCCGGCTGCCTTTATTTTTAACTTAAGACTTTGAATCCCTGACATAATGTCTTATATCCTCTAAGAGTGGATACAGAAACAAAGAGCCAAGGCCAAGTGTGACCTTGATATACAAGGCAGGGCACATAGTCTCAATTTTGAGTCCACAATTTAAAAACCAGGTGACAGGGGAAAAAGAATAGACACTGCTTGGGGCTGGGAAGGTGGCTCAGTGGTAGAGCGCTTGCCTTGCATGCATGATGCCCTGGGTTCGATTCCTCAGCACCACATAAACAAAATGAAAAAAGCCGGAAGTGGTGCTGTGGCTCAAGTGATAGATCGCTAGCCTTGAGCTGAAGAGCTGAGGGACAGTGCCCAGGCCCAGAGTTCAGGCCCCTCGAGCCCCTCGATTGGACCCCCCCCCAAAAAAATAGACACTGCTGGTTTCAGCCTTTCTCATTCCTGCTGCAGCAGCCAGCATCTTTCAATACATCAGCTTCTCAACCTGCTCTTTTGTAGGACTGCCTTCTGAAATCCAGCTGATTGGCAAGAAGACCATGATACTTTTCAGCAATAATCCTACTCTAGTAAGTACTGTACTTTTATGACCTATTTAAACAGAATGAGGCCATTCTTTTAATCAAGACCACTTAAATAAGGCTTTGTTGTACGTATACAATCAATTTTTTTGTGAAGAGTAATTCCACGTGAACATATATTCATATCTTCTAGTTCTTAACAGCCATAATATTTAACAATATTTTGTTCCAATATTTTTTTCTGTAATGGTATCTACACCAAAGAGTTTTGATCAAAAGCCAAACAATTTCTATACATATTTTTCTTTGGAAATGGAGAAAAGATTCTTTTTCTTAAGCCAAAACTAAAGCCTTCATGATGTACTATCATGGAATGTGAAACTTCTGACCTGATGTAGGAGAGGGAGTTTAAACTAGAAGTCCTTGGGGACTCTTCCCTTTCCTTGTGTGTGAACGTGACAGTCAGGCCTTGGGCAAAGTACAAAGGATTCTGGGATTACATGTATAATGATCATCCTCCTATGCTATTTTAGCCTCCTTGTCTCCTAGAGGTGCTAGCTGTGTTGCCAAGGCCAAGAGGCAATACAGTATCAAAAAGTGCATGGCCTTTGAGGCTATGCCAATGCAGTGTCAGCATCATCACAATATGATGTTTTGTGGCTTAGCAAATTCTGACCTCACCCTCTGAGGACTTCTGTTTCCTCATTCATGAAACAAGAACAATCTCTTCTCTGTCACAGATTTACCTCTGTCACAGATTTACTCTAAAGATTAAATTACATAATATACCGAAAGTTTCTAGCGTGCTCAGAGAAAATAAAACAAACATTATGAAAGCTGGGTGCCAGTGGCTTATGCTTGTAGTCCCAGCTACTCAGGAGGCTGAGATCACAGTTCGAAGCCAGCCTAGGCAGAAAAGTCTGTGAGACTCTCATCTCCAATTAGCCACGAAAAAGCCAGAAGTGGAGCTGTGTCTCAAGTGGTTATAAAAAAACAAAGCTAAGGGCAGCACCCAGGATTTGAGTTCAAGCCCCAGTAGCAGCGCACACATACAGCACACACACATACTCATGTACATGCACACACACAAAGTTAGGATTATTTATAACAAATCAGGTTATTTGTTTTAGTAGTGATCTGGAGACAGATCCTTCTAGAGAATAGCAGGTATTTTCCACAAACCAAGTCCATCCAACCTCCTGAAAAGGGCTGTAATTATATTACTAAAACTCTTGTGAAGCACTTAAGTCACAGATGGCAGTACCTGCTTCTGCCATCAGATTTAAGAATGGAAACTCCATAGACTGTCTATTACAAGATATCAAGTAGCCAGCCATGGTAGTGCATGCCTATAATTCCAGCTCTCAGGAAGAAAGGCTAGAGGATCTTGATTGCAAGGCCAGCCGAGGCTATATAACAAGACCCTGTCTGAAAAAAAAATCAAAACGTGGTCCTAAACTCTTATAGAAATTCTCTTGTAAAACAATGATCTCTTACAAATATTACACTCAGATAGTCATATGAAATGTATAAAAGACACAAAAAACACTTACTTTCCTAGACACATGTGCAAAACTGGCAAAAAAATAAGTTTTCCCTCTAGAACATTGTTTAAACGACATAAAAAACTAAAAGAACTCTAGCAATAACCTTCATTTTACTGAAAACTGGATTTTGTTTTAAAATTTAAAGTTCTATATTTCTCTGGCTCATATAAATGGAATTTGATAACTGAGTTCAAATTGTGGCTCCAGTGGTAAGTGTGCTAGTGGCATTCCTTAATTAGGAATAAGGAATAATACTGCCTAAGTTAAGGTTGTGGTAAGAATTAAATATATAGTGGAATGTATGTATAGGGCTGGGACATGGCGCCTGGCACATGAACAGTAACTTTCTCACCACAGAGATCCCCTAGGCATTAGCAAAAACTTGTTCTAATTATATGGTGCTTTTCTTGTGGGTTTGCCTATGAATAATGAGACGCATGTACACTTTAAAACTCTTGCCACACTCCGTACATTTATAAGGTTTCTCTTCTGTGTGGCTCTTCTGGTGGCATGCGAGTTCTGACTCCAAAGCAAAACTTTTTGCACATACTTTACACTTATGGGGCTTTTCCCCAGTGTGAATGCTTTGGTGAGAAATAAGCTTAGAGAAACAAGGGAAAGTCTTGTCACAGTCAAGACACTGTAATGGTTTGAACTGGGAGAAGATGTAATAGTTTTCGTCATCAGTGCTGCTCTGATCAGGTTCCTCCTTGAAGCCCTGCTCCAGGAGGGGGCGACTCGAGGATGTCCCAGAGCTCTTCACACTCAGAGCATTCTGGTAAGGCGAGGCCTGTGTGCTGGAATCTCCATTGAGACCCACATTCATCTTCCCAATTGAATACTTGTCATCATGAGCATAGGGAGCATAAGAGGTCTGTGTGCTGGAATCTTCACTCAGAGCCACATTTATTTTCCCAGTAGAATATTTCTCATCATGAGCATAGGGAGCATAAGAGGTCTGTGTGCTGCAATCTTCATTCAGAGCCACATTTATTTTTCCAGTGGAATATTTCTCATCATGAGCATAGGGAGCATCCTTGTAAGGATAGGTCTGTGTGCTGGAATCTTCATTCAGAGCCACATTTATTTTCCCAACACAGTATCTCTCATCATGAGCATAGGAAACTTGCTGGTAAGGAGAAGAAGGTGGTATGCTGGTTTTTTTATGCAAAACCACATTTGTTTTCCCACCAGAATATGTATCATAGTTCTCACAGGGATCATACCGGTAAGGAGAGGGTGCTGTGCTGGTTTTTTCATTCAAAGCCACATTTGTTTTCCCAGCAGAATATTTATCATGGTTAACAAAAAGAGTGTTCTGGTAGAGAGAGGTCAGTGTGCTGGCTTTTTTATGCAAAGCCAGATTCAATGTCTTTCCAGAGTGTTTATCATGGTTAGCACAGGCAGTGTTTTGGTAAGCTGAAGTTGGTGTGCTGGTTTTTTTATGCAAAGCCGTGTTTGTTTTTTTACCAGAGCGTTTCTTACAGTGAGCACATACAGCATTCCGGTGAGTTGAAGTTGATGTGCTGGATTTTTTTCGCGAAGCCAGATTTGCTTTCTTCCCAGAGCATTTCTTGCAGTGAGCACACGTAGTTTTTCGGTGAGTTGAATTTGATGTGCTGGTTTTTTTACGCAAAGCTGGATTTGTTTTCTTCCCACAGCGTTTCTTACAGTGAGCACATGTAGTGTTGTGCTGAGTTGAGGTTGAGGTGCTGGTTTTTTTACGTGAAGCTGTATTTGTTTTCTTCCCACAGCGTTTCTTGCAGTGAGCACACAGTGTTTTTCGGTGAGTTGAAGTTGAGGTGCTGGTTTTTTTACGCAAAGCCGGATTAGTTTTCTTCCCAGAGGATTTTTTACAATGAGCACACAGAGAGTTTTCGTGAGTTGAGCAAGTTGGTGTGTTGGTTTTTTTATGTAAAGCCAGATTTGTTTTCTTTCTAGAGGATTTATGACAGCCAGCGCATGCAGTGTTTTTGTGAGTTGGAGTTGGTGTGCTGTTTTTTTTACGTGAAGCCACATTCGCTTTTTTGCCACAGTGTTTACCGCAGTTGGCACACTTGAGTGTGCTGGTTTTTTTACGTGAGGCCCGACTTCTTTTCTTCCCACAGTATTTACCGCAGTGGGCACACGCAATGTTTCGGTGACTCGAAGTTGGTGTTCTGGTTTTTTTATGCAAAGCTACATGTTTCTTAGAAGAATTTTTATCGTGGTTAGCATGCTTATCTGTTTTTTCAGCAGTGTGGCTTTTCTGGTGCTGGGTCAAGTCTGAGAGCCACTTAAAGCCTCTCCCACATATGGCACATGGGTAGGGTTTCTGCTTTGTGTGGCTCTTCATGTGCCGGGACAGATGGGAGTGCTGGCGGAACCTGGCAGCACACTTGACACACTTATATGGCTTCTCACCAGTGTGGACTCTCCTGTGCGTCCTCAAGTTGGCTCTATGATTGAAGATCTTCCCACAGTCATCACATGTATACTGGTTCTCTCTTGAATGAGTTTTCTGACGTAAACCAAGGTATGAATTATCACAGAAGGTTTGGTCACGTTCAGCACTCTGGTAAACATTGTCAGGGGGTTCTTCCCCGGGAGGCTCAGTAATTTCTGAAAGTGTTCTGGTTCCTAAATACTGAGAGAGTTCTACTAATGGGGTATGGTTGTCAATGGTAATTAAAAGGTTTATGAATCGTTTTTTGCAAGTGGAAGTTCCACTTGATATTTTCCATTCAGGGAGTGTAATCTCATCTTCAGAAGATTCTGGATAATCAACAAGGGGTGAAGCAATGGAGTGCTCTTGGGAATGCTCTTCAAATTCCATAGACTCTAGGCTTAATTGCGGGTTAATGTCAGTCTTGCCTTCCACTCCTGTTGATAAAAAACAAAATAAGGCAAAACAGACAATGCCTGGAGGTGAAACTAGGGAAGGGAAAGTTCAAGTAGTTACACAGAAGACTAGGAACCAGCACATAGGTTCTCTTAAATGCAGAAACTGACAAATAGGCAATGTTGAGAGCCACAAGGCTCTCGTGACTTCCCAAAAAATCCAATTCTCCAAAAGTATACTAGAAGGAGAGAGCAGAGAATGGTGATCAGTAAGGGCCAGAAGGACAAGTGCTTGGCAGATGCTGACTAAATGAATGGTTTTCTACTTGGTCTGTTTTGATCTCAAGAGCTTTTCACAGACTGGTGCTGGTGGCTCACATCTGAAACCTTAGCTACTCAGGAGTCTGAGACCTGGAGAGTTGAGAAGTTCAAAGCCAGCCTGAGCAGAAACTGAGATTCCATCAACAAAAATATTGACAGGAGGTATGGTCAAGTGGTAGAGCACTAGCCCTGAGCAAGAAAGCCAGAGAGCAGGCAAAAGGCCATGAATGGAAGTCTTAGTACTGGCATAGGCATGCATGTACGTGCGCGCACACACACACACAGAAATTTTCATTATTTAAGTTACCTCAGGGACAGTGAGGTATCAACTCTGGAATGGATAGCTGGAGGGTATGGCCCTAGTTAGAACACTCGCTTAGCAAGTTAAAGGTTTTGAGCTCACACTGAGTACAAAGGAGAAATAACACACATGCAAAATATAATTGAGATTGACATACTTATTCACCAAAAAGGTAAGTTCTGGTAATTTTTCTGCCTTAACAAAGAAACACAGGTTTCCCAGAGCAGCCTCACTGTCACTATCCTTCAGGGAAGGATCAAAGTAGACTGCTGTGTGCCATGGGCAAATAATGTTCTCTCAAAAGTGGCTGACAAAACTTGAAGGTGGCAAAAAGAATTTCTTTTTAATATTTTTCTGCACATAAGTAGCCCTACACATCTACAGCCTCTGAATCGTAGATTCAACCAATCACAGATTGAAAATATTCACAGCAGATGTCACATCTGTGATGAGCATATACTTTTCTTCTTTCATTCTTTCCCGAACAATACAATGCAAGCACTCCTTATACTACTTTTAACCTGTATTAGTATTATAAATAATCTAGATATGATTTAAAAGTCTGTGGGAGGCCATGAATAGCTCATATACAAATACTACACCACTTTGTGTAACAGATGAGCATTTTCAGAGTTTGGCATCTTGCGGGGAGGGGGAGTCACAGAAAGGACCTTTCCTTCCAATGAAACAAAGTCTGATGATTGTCCCAGGTCACTGACTGCAATGTGTTTCTGGGCTGCAGTACGATGAATGTAAATGCAAATAGTTTACAGTGGTTTTGCTGATGTGAGAATGAATTCAGAGATAATGGATTCCAACGCAAATCTCAAATAGATTCCAGAGCAAAATAACTGCAAAACAAGTAGCTCCCCAGAAACAGACTTAGATTATCTGCATGCAATTCCCTTTAAAATATTTGTTTTGAGACATTTGCTATTCAGGAAGTAAAACTCAGGTTCAAGATGAGCGTAGGCCAAACATCTGCACACATAAAGTTAGCAGAACTCCATCTAAACAAAAAAAAAAAAAACAGGTGTGGAGGTCTGCTGCTGTAATCCAACCTACACATGAGACCTTAAATAATAGAATCCTACCCGAGGCTGACACAAAGCAAAACGCTGGCACTGTGGCTCAAAAGGAAGAGTGCTAGCCTTGAGCACAAAGAGGCTCTGAGGCAGTTCCCAGGCCCCGAGTTTAAGCCCCACAACCAACAACAAAAAATAAGAATTAAAGCAAAAAAAGTTACATGTGTGGTTCAAGTAGTAGAGTGCCTGCCTAGAAAATTTGAGGCCCTGTAGTTAAACCATACTGCCTGTTTTTTTTTTTGGGTCGGTCGTGGGGCTTGAACTCGGCCTGGGCATTGTCCCTGAGCTGTCTTCAGCTGGTTATGTGGTGCTGAGGAATCAAACCACAGGGCCTCGATACATGCAAGGCAAGCACTCTACCACTGAGCCACCTTCCCAGACCCTAATTTTTTTTTTAAAGAACTCTTTGCCGAATACTAATCTGCCTCTATCTGTAGAAGCTACTCAAACCTACAGAAAGTACCACTGCAGATGAATATACAAAGCAAGATTCATGACCCAAAGTGGAAAGACCTAATACATAGGACATTAGTCTCCTCAGAAAATACTGCCTAAGCAATAGGCCAAATAAGGGAATAGGCTGATCTGAATTCACCATAATAAAGCAAAGGCAAACCCTGAAAGGATCAAACTGACTTCAGATAACTGCATCCTAAAACAAAGTGCAAAACTATTTTCTGAAATACAACAAAAGACATCAACAAACATAAAATTCACAATGTCCAAAATCTACTAAAAATTTACAAGGCATGTGAAAGAATTAGGAAAATGTGACTTAGTAAGAGGAGAAAAACCCATCAATGGAAACAGACCCAAGAAAGACACACTTGATAAAACTAGCAGAAAAAATGTTTTAAAAGCTATTATAAATATACTCCATTTGGTCAAGAAGGTAGTAAACATGAACATGACAAAGTAGAAGATATAAAACACGAAAAAAATATAACCAAACCCAGAGATGAAGGCTACTCATATATGATACACATCTGAAAAGATAATCTCAGACTTTGAAACTTGTTCTTTCATGTAAGTTGTTATCACAAGGATACAATCACCCAGAAAAAAGGTACTATTCAACACCATCAACATGTGGAGAAGGCATGAAATCCGCATCCTGGAACACACAAAATTCCCAAAGCACAGCAAGAAAAACTGCCTTACCAATGCGAGTCCCATTGTCCAAACATTCCTTGGTGGCCTTTCTGCTCCGGGGCCCTGGAGCAGCATGTGGACTCACACATTCCTCTTGAGAAAAATGCACGGCCAGATCTTCAAATAGCATTGGCCCCTGAAAAAACAGGAGAGCCCATCTCACTACAAGAGGTTAGCAGGACAAGCCCTCTGGTGTGTTGGAAGATAAAAGAGCTAAAAACATCACAGATGCTGGGGGCTGACGCCTGTAATCCTAGCTCCTCAGGAGGCTGAGATCTGAGGATTGCTGTGCAAAGCCAGTCCTGGCTTATCACCAGTTAACCACCAGAAAACCGGAAGTGGGGCTGTGCTCAAGACGGTAGGGCACTAGCCCTGAGTTTAAGCCCCATGACTGACCACACACACACACATAAAATCACAGACAAGGGAGAAAAAGGACTCAATGTCAAATACTCCCCAGGACAGGAATGGGTATAAACACATCGTAGTGGTGCCTTCAGAGTTGGAAAGAAGGTAGTACTGGCTCAAGACCTGTAGTTGTCCCTGGAAAGGATGGAATGCTGTAAGAAAAACTGGCCATCTCAGGAAGAAAAAGAAAGACTTCCCCAGTTCCTGCCAGCACTCCTTCAAGGCCCTTCTTCCTAAGTTTACTTCTCTAACCAATTGAACTTTGGCATGATTAAGAATCACTGTGGCCAGGAGATGGCGGCTCACACCTGTAATCTTAGTTACTCTAGGAGGCTGAGATCTGAGGATCGTAGTTCAAAGCCAGCTGGGGCACAAAAGCCCTTGAGACTCATCTCCAATACACTACTCAGAAAAAACAAGAAGTGGTGCTGTGGCTCACGTCGTAGATCACTAGCCTTGAGCATACAAAGGCTCAAGGATGGAGCCCAGGCCAAAGTTCAAACCCCTGGCCCATTCCCCGCCCCCCCCCCAAAATCACTGTGGTTGGCTGGGAATGTGACTTAGTGGTAGAGTGCTTGCCTAGCATGCATGAAGCCCTAGGTTTGATTCCTTAGTACCACATACACAGATAAAAACCGGAAGTGGCACCGAGTAGCCTTGGGCAAAAAAAGCTCAGGGAGAATACAAAGGCCCTGAGTTCACGAAAAAAATCACTGTGGCACCAATATCATATTCAACGGGTATGAAGCCTAAAAGTCTACTTAGAGAGTGACTTTCCTCTCAACAGTGAGGCGGGCTGAGAATTTTTTTAAAAATTGTTATTATAAAGGTGATGTCCAGAGGGATTACTTAGGTCAGATGGAGAAAGCTTCCCTTTGGACCACGTCATCCCTTCCAAGCACGCTGTTTGAGAAAAACAGTTCTAGGCCCCGCCCCGCGCCCTCGCCCCAGCTGCACAGAGGAAGTCGGGCAAAGAGGACCCCTGGAGGAGACACACCCACCGCGGCCGCGGGGCCCCGCGGGGGCCAGCCAGAGCCTCACCAACCAGGAGACACACCCACCGCGGCCGTGGGGCCCCGCCGGGGACAGCCAGAGCCTCACTAACCAGGAGACACACCCACCGCGGCCGCGGGGCCCCGCGGGGGCCAGGCCAGAGCCTCACTAACCAGGAGACACACCCACCGCGGCCGCGGGGCCCCGCGGGGGCCAGGCCAGAGCCTCACCAACCAGGAGACACACCCACCGCGGCCGTGGGGCCCCGCCGGGGACAGCCAGAGCCTCACCAACCAGGAGACACATCCACCGCGGCCGCGGGCCTCGGCCTGCGCCCACGGGCCCTCACCAACCAGGAGACACACCCACCGCGGCCGTGGGGCCCCGCGGGGGCCAGGCCAGAGCCTCACCAACCAGGAGACACACCCACCGCGGCCGCGGGCCTCGGGGCCCCGCCAGAGCCTCACCAACCAGGAGACACACCCACCGCGGCCGCGGGCCTCGGCGAGCCCTGGCGGTTCTCATCTCCGATTAAAAGGCCAATAGGAAAGCTGTGGCTCAGGCGGTAGAGCGCCAGCCTTGAGCGCACGAAGCTCAGGGATGGCGCCCAGGCCCCGAGTTCAAGCCCCAGGGTCTGCGCGCGCGCACACAAACGCACACACACACACATGCACACGTCCACGGAAGAGAAAAGAAAAAAGTGCCTCGCCTCACCTGGGCTTCCGAGGTCGACGCCATCTGCGGTGAGGGGCGCCGTCGCCGAGACGCCTCGGGACGTCAGGCGGAGGCTCCGAGAGCGCGGCCCTCAGAGACCCCCGGGAGGCCGCCAGCCTCCCCGCGCACCATGCGCCTCCCGCGAGCCCGGCGGGCACCTGCGCCACCGCGGGCCTCGAGGAGGATCCGCGCGGCAACGAGGGCCTCGGCCTACCCGGACCCAGACCCGGACCCGGGAAGCAACGCAGCGGAGACGAAGCAATGCTGCAATGAAGATGCAACGCAGCAGAGATGAGAGACGCGCAGAGCGCGCGCGCGCGCTGCGGGGGCGGCGGCCGCCCACGCAGCCGCAGTGCGCAAACCGCCGGAAGCGACGCACCCCGGCGGCGGCGGGGGCGGGGGGCTCCGCCGTCCTGTGCGCTGATTGGATGGATGCCCCAGAAAGGGCAGCCCCTCTTCTGTCTGGACCAATTGAGTATCTTACTCAAAGTCATTGTACAGTCGGCCATTGAAAGACTTCGCTTCTTCTGCGTGTCCACAAAGGAGGCATTTCCGCTTCCGCCTGCCGGGTCTCCCGGGTGAGTTCCCGGAGGTTGACCTCTTCAGTGGGGTGACGCGCGAGGCGTGATGGTTCCAAAGAGGAGAGGGGGAGCTCGCAGAGCTCGCGAGAGAGTCGGTAACGCCGTGTGTGACCCTCAGGCCTCGTGGGCGCGAAGCTGGGGGTCTGGCCTGGGGGAGGCGAGTGGGAGGCCCCAGTCGGGCCGAGGCCCGGAGGGGCGAGAGGGGATGAGCGGGGGTGGAGTCCGGGATCCGACGCCGAGTCGGGAGTCGGCGCAGACCCCCGCCGCGCCCCCGTGCCGGGCGCCTTCCCGCACGGGCCTCAGCGCTGGCCAGCGCCGTTGCCCAGGCTTCAACTCGGGACTCTGCCACCTTGCTCGGCCGGCTTGGTCGTGAATGGCGCCCTACCACTTGGGCCGTGTCTCTAGTCTGGTGGTGGTAGCTTTTGGTTTTTGTTGTTGTTTTTTTGTCAGTCATGAGGCCTGAACTCTGGGCCTGGGCGCTGTCCCTCAGCTCTTCAGCTCAAGGCTAGCGCTCTACCACTTGAGCCACAGCGCCACTTCCGGCTTTTT